TTTTKRMMARKWAAAWWAAMCMAAWYCMRRAARKWMCYKGATSAATATAGTGTTTAAACCTTAGGTTAATTAAATTTCTTGGATTATGAACTTTTTGTTTAATAGGTGTTTGAACTTTATAAAATGGTTTTATAAATTTTGAAATTTTTAATTTTAATCTTTAAACTTTAAAATTATTTAATAAGTTGATGAATTTTTAATTTTGTATCTAATAGATTTTTTGAGTTCTAACCGTGTCTAATAAATTTTTTATTTTTTAATCTAATTATATATTTAAATTTCAAAGTGTTTAAAATAGGTGTTAAAATTTTTCTCACTAATTTAACATTTTTTAAAATTCATGAATATGTTAAGATGCTTTTTTATAATTCAATTTTCTATTAGACTTAATCTCGAAAGTTCAAAGACTTTAAATATACATAAAAAGATTTAGTAAAAGAAATGTGGGTTGCGAAGATTTGGATTCATATACTTCACAACGGAGCGAGCGAGCGAGTTAGATTCATGTTGGTAAAAACTTGAAAGATAGATATTTAAAATTTAACTTTTTATTTAAGAACAATGTGAGGTGAGGTCTAATGACATTAAAGAATTACGTTGGGAAGAAAAACTTATACTTTTGAGGGGCCCATGAAAATGGCATAGAAGGTTTGGCAAATGGCAAAATTATGAACACTTTGTTAGAAGAGGGAAAAAATAATTCAATTTAAGTCAAACTATGGGAGCTAGCCATTAAAGTCAAAATCCAATTTGTTGGTTGTTACTTTCCAACATCTGAATAACACAGTGGGATTTTCAACATCATGAAATTACCATTCACCTTCCAAAGTACAAAGGGCAAAAATTTGTTCATGTTCAGTTTGAAGCCATTAACTCTGCTCCTGCTTTGACATGAACATAAAAGATTAATAGTCACTTCTCGACGTATGCAGGCGACGAGAAATCGTTTGCAGACGACGTAGCGGTAGATTCGGAGGGCAATGCGTATGTTACAGATGTCAAACAAAGCAAAATATGGAAGGTTGGAGTTGATGGGAAGTTCATGTCTACCATAAAAAGTTCTTTGTTCATTCCAAAGGAGCGATACAAGCGCATGTTCGGGCTAAACGGCATCGTTTATCACCCAGATGGGTTCTTAATAGTTGTTCATTCAATGAGTGGAGACTTGTTTAAGGTAGATTTGGACAAGGGATCAGAGGAAGCTAAAGTTAAGCCGATCAATGTAACTGGGGGCCATCTTACATTTGGAGATGGTCTAGAGCTTCTTTCTCCAACCAAACTTGTGGTTGCTCGTCACCCTTATACAAGAATGTTGGAGAGCTTGGACGGCTGGGAGACGGCCGCGGTGGTGGCGACGTTGTCCGGGCTTAAGCATCGGTGGGTGACGGCAGCCACCGTGAAAGACGGTAAGGTGTACGTCAACCACATGCTTGGTATGGGGTATCCCAAGAAGAAGCATGCTATCGTAGAGGCAACTTTTTCTGCATAGATGATTTTTTCAAGATAAAGAAGGTTTTTTTTTTTTTTTT